ACTCATCTTCTGGTGGGCATTTAGGATGTTTGCAAATCTTAGCTATTGTAAATTATGGTGCTATGAACATAGGGGTGCATATATCCTTTCTGATTGGTGTTTCTAGTTTCTTGGGATATATTCCTAGAAGTGGGATCAATGGATCAAATGGGAGTTCCATTTTTAGTTTTTTGAGGAAACTCCATACTGTTCTCCACAGTGGCTGCACCAGTTTGCATTCCCACCAGCAGTGCACAGGGGTTCCTTTTTCTTCACATCCTCGCCAGCACTTGTCATTTGTTGATTTGTTAATGATAGCTAGTCTGACGAGTATGAAATGGTACCTCATGATCATTTTGATTTACATCCCTCTGATGATTAGTGACTTTGAGCATGTATTCATATGTATCTTGGCCTTCTGTATGTCCTCTTTCGAAAAGTATCTAGGTCTTTGCCCATTTTTTTTTTTTTTTATGTGACAGATTCACTAACAAATACTTTCTAACAGATTTTAACCAAAGGCAGTTTTGTTTTCCTTTTCTTTGCCCTTTTTATTGTTAAAATATATTTTTTAATTGATTTTTTACAGAGAGGAAGGGAGAGAAATAGAGAGCTAGAAATATCGATGAGAGAGAAACATCGACCAGCTGCCTCTTGCACACCCCCTACTGAGGATATGCCTGCAACCAAGGTACATGCCCTTGACTGGAATTGAACCTGGGACCCTTCAGTCCGCAGACCACGCTCTACCACTGAGCCAAACCGGTTTCGGCACTTTGCCCATTTTTTGATGAGATTGTTTATCTTCCTTTTGTTGTATGAGTTCCCTAAAAATGTTAGAGATTAAACCCTTATTCTCTTATCAGAGATAACATTGGCAGATGTGTTCTCCCTTGCAGTGGGCTTGTTGATGGTTTCTTTTGCTGTGCAGAAGCTTTTTATTTTGATGTAGTCCCATTTGTTTATTTTCTCTTTAGTTTCCATTGCCCTAGGAGCTCTGTTGGTGAAGATAATTGCTTCAACTTATGTCTGAGATTTTGCTCTCTGTAAGATTTTTATGGTTTCCCATTTTACATTTAAGTCCTTTATTCATTTTGAGTTTATTTTTGTGTATGGTGTAAGTTGGTGATCTAGTTTCATTTTTTTTTTGGCATGTATCTGTACAATTTTCCCAGCACCATTTATTGAAGAGACTGTCTTGACTCCATTATATGCTCATGCCTCCTTTGTTAAATATTAATTGAGCATAGTGGTTTGGGTCGATTTCTGGGTTCTCTATCCTATTGCATTGGTCTATATGTCTGTTCTTATGCTGATACCAGGCAGTTTTTGAGAACAGTGGCTTTGTAATACAGTTTGAAATAAGGTATTGAGATCCCACCTACTTAGTTCTTCTTTTTCAGGGTTGTTGCAGCTGTCGGTCTTTTTTATTCCAGATAGATTTTTAGAGAATTCATTTGATTTGTAATTCTTAATCTCTTCACTTTTCTCACCCACTCTTCCAATCCCCTTCCCTAGGGCAACCATTAGTCTGTTCTCTATTTTGTTTGTTTTGTTCTTTAGATTCCATATACAAGTGAAATCATATGGTATTTGACTGGCTTATTTCACTGACTGGCCTATTTCACTGAGCATAATATCCCTCAAAGTCAAGGATTGTCCCATGGGGTGTTAATTCCCCCACATTTGCAGTTTGGAGCACCCACAAATGATCATCAGCTTCTCACAGGTGTCCCAACCCATGTCATGTAAAAGCCTTAGTAAACAATGCAAAACACATGCTAAAGTTCAGTTCTATTGTCTTGTAATCTCTTAAGTGTGGGGGCGGGGAAGGAGTAAGTGGGCTGAGAAAATGTGAGACAGGAGAGAAGAGGTGACTGATACAAGCAGGTTTTTTAAATTTGAGTATACACACAAAATATATGTACACAAAATCAATTATTATTTTTTCATAGAAAATCTCCAATATGCCAGTGTGTTCAGTAATTGTTTAACACACAGTGACACCTATTCAAATATAGAAAACTATTCAAATACAGACATTCACAAGCATCAAGTTGCAACTCTTTGATGCTGTCTAAAGGGAAATTCCTGTGAAACTCTATGTTGCTCATCTTCACTCTATTCTGAATTAAAAACCCAGTATCTGATGTGCCTCTGTTCACCTGCAGTAGTAACAGCTGTTCATCTGTTGGGACCGTTACTCTAACCCACCACTTTGAGAAGATAAGGCACACTGTATGGTACCTGGCAAGTAGAGTATTGATGTGGGAAGTTTGACACTGATGTACTTACCCATGTCATTTCCCCATAGTTACAGGCAGCACACATGAAATCTCTATATTGCATTGTAATCTGAAAGTTTAATTTCTCTAATTTTTGTTAGCTACTCTTCTTTAATCTCCAAATTTTAAAGTATGTATAAGAAATTATAACAGGTAAATTCCTGTAACCAATTTCATTTCATTTTTCTAAAACCACAGTTACACAATTTCTGCTTATTTTATTAAAAATATTTTCAGATGAATCAGTCTTTTTCATATAAAAATTATACATGCTAAAAACTAATTGGAAATCTAATATTGAATTTTACCTGTAAAGGGTTTGCTTTTGAAAGTTATCTTTTGTAGGCATTGTTTCTACAAAAATGCAATTTCCCCTGATTGACTTGTATAGATCTAAATATTACTGTATGCAACTGTATATACTAAGTATTTTGTTTTGTTTTGGTTTTGCTGCTATTCATATTTAGTTTAAAATTTACATAAAGAAAAAATAGTTTAGCTCATTGCCTTTGTCTTAATTTATTATATTGCTAATTTGGTTCTCCAGCAAACTTTGCAAATTAATTATGCAGACTGTGAACTGATAAAAGAGCATATAGAAATGTTTTCTGTTAGCCAAAGCCAGTTTAGCTCAGTGGTAGAGTGTCGGTCTGCGGACTGAAGGGTCCCGGGTTCGATTCCGGTCAGGGGCATGTACGTTGGCTGTGGGCACATCCCTGGTGGGGGATGTGCAGGAGGCGACTGGTCGATGTTTCTCTCTCATCGATGTTTCTGGCTCTCTATCTCTCTCCCTTCCTCTCTGTGAAAAATAAATAAATAAATAAATAAATAAATAAATAAATAAATAAATAAATAAGAAAGAAAGAAATGTTTTCTGTTATATAGGCTATCATGTCCCCTACAAATAAAGATAGTTAAGCTTCTTGTTATTTGTTGTTGTTTTTTTTTGTTTTATAATCAACTTCTTGTTTTATAATCTTTATAACTTTAATTTTTTAAAAATATATATTTTATTGATTTTTTTACAGAGTGGAAGGGAGAGGAATAGAGAGAAACATCTATGAGAGAGTAACACCGATTCGCTGCCTCCTGCACACTCCCTTCTGAGTATGTGACTGCAACCCTTGACCGGAATCAAACCTGGGACCCTTGAGTCCGCAGGCCAACGCTTTATCCACTGAGCCAAGCTGTTTATGGCTATAACTTTAACTTCTAATTTTGTCATATTAATTCTTACTAAGATTGGAACTTTCACTACAATGATTAATACAAATGGTGAGCACAGACTCTTCCTTGCCTTCTTCTTAACCTTAGAAGAAAAGCAAAAAAAATGTCACCATTTAGTAGGACGTTAGCTGTTGTTTTTAAATTCTCTCTATGAAATTGAGAAGGTGCCCTTTCGTTTCTAGTTTATTGGAAGTTTTGGCCTCAAAAAGGTGCTGAAGCCGAAACCAGTTTGGCTCAGTGGATAGAACATCGGCCTGCCGACTGAAAGGTCCCAGGTTCGATTCCAGTCAAGGGCATTTACCTTGGATGTGGGCACATCCCCAGTAGGGGGTGTACAAGAGGCAACTGATTGATGGTTCTCTTTCATCAATGTTTCTAACTCTGTCTCTCTCTCTTCCTCTCTGTAAAAAATCAATAAAATATATTTTTAAAAAAGGTACTGAATGTCTCAAATATTTTATTCCTACCTATAGAGATAAATATGGTTATTCTCCTTTATTCTAATTTACCATGGTGAATTATAATGCTAGATTTTTAAATTTAAAATAAATCTTCCTTATCTGTGGTAAACCCACATAGACACCATATAACAATCCTTTTAAACACTCTTTTTGTTCTTACTTTTTAAGGTAGAAGCTTAGGTTACTACTGATTTTAAAATTCCTTGTTGTTATTTGATGTAAACATTTGAACTTCAAGGTCTCGGTACATTTTGAAGTAGCTCACATAGTTTAATATGCTAGATTTTCATTATCATTAGGTTAAAATATTTTCTAGTCTCTCTTTTGAATCTTTCATTGACAGTTAATTTCTTTAGAATTGTGTTGGTTACTTTTCAAATATTTGGATATTTTCTTGATGTCTTACTATTATTGAGTTCAAATTCAAATTCATTGTGATCAGAGAATATACTCAGTGATTTGAATCCTCTAATATTTACTGAGACATCTCTATGGTCTAGCATATGGTCTGTGATGATAAATGTTTCATGAATGCTGGGATAAAGAAACCATATGTTCAGAAATTATAAGGTATAATGTTCAATGAGTATATATTGGGTCATATTGATTATAGTGTTCAAAACTTTTATCTCCTTATTGGTTTTAAAAAAATATATTTTCTGACTTTAGAGAGGAAGGGAGAGGGAGAGAAAGAAACATCAACTTTCAAATGTACTGTACACCTGTGGGAATTAAAACCTTCATGCTGTACATTACATCTCCAGTACTTATTTCTTTTATAAATATATGTTTGTACTTTTTGTGCACCTTTATCCACATCCCCTGCCAACCTATCCCTTGGCTCTGATCAGAAACTATGAATATGATTTCTTTGGTATGTTTGTGGTTTTTTTTTTTAAATCCACATACAGTATTTGTCTTTCTCTGTCTCACTTTTTTCATTTAGCATAATGCCCTGAAGGTCCATCCATGTTGTGGCAAATGTGGTATAATTGTTGTTAAATGATTCTTTTATTAAAATTTCCCTTCCCTCTTTTTCTCATTATAGACAGAGGCTGCATGGGCTGAAGAATATTATGAAAAGAAGAAAGGGTCTCACAAGCGTTCAGCATCCTGGGGCAGCACAGATCAACTGAAGGAGGTCAGGAAAATGGTGCCAAGAAAGTTGGTGTGGAAACTTGATTCCTTCATTGGCTAGTTCCTTGAAATTGTGGGCAGCAGAGATTTGTCAATTTCCATTGCGTGTGGGGTTTGTGTGTTTTTGTCTTAGTTCTGTTTACTTAAGAATTAACAACAGAAAAAGTTATGTTAATTGAATAAGGATTTGAATGGAGAAATGTATACATTACTTATTTGATAGTGTGTTTTTCCTTTTCTAACAAAATGAAAGTCTATACCTATTAATATAATATAAATATCAGATATATAAATTTTAGTGATAGAACAAATTCACATATATTATTTCTGCATATTATGGTAGTGATTCTGCCATTTAGTAACCCAGTATAAATAACTAAGTTGATTTTGCCCCTATGGTATAATTACCTGATTACCATTTTCTGTCTATAATTATAACATTCTTATTTTACATGTAATGTAGGGGGAAAAAACAAAACCAGGAAAATTCAGTGCAGAAATAACATGGGATATTGATTAAAATTTTATTTGGTATTTTAAAAAATGCATCTTTTATTGTTCAGATTATTACAGTTGTTCCTCTTTTTCTCCCCAAAGCTCCTTTCCACTTGGTTCCCATCCACCCCATACCTTGAAACCCCTCCCCTACATTGTCCTAGTCCATAGGTGTACGATTTTTGTCCAGTCTCTATAGCACTCCCCACACCTTCCTCCCAAGAATTGTCACTCCACTCCCTTTTTATGCCCTTGATTCTATTCTATTCATCAGTTTATTCTGTTCATCAGATTTTTTATTCAGTTGATTTTTAGATTCACTTGTTGATAGATACATATTTATTGTCACTTTGTTCATAATTTTTATCATTACCTTTTTCTTCTTCCTCTTCTTAAAGAATACTTTCAGCATTTCATATAATACTGGTTTGGCAGGGATGAACTCCTTTAGCTTTTTCTTTTTATCTGTGAAGCTCTTTATCTGACTTTCAGTTCTAAATGATAGCTTTGCTGGGTAGCTAATCTTGGTTGTAGGTACTTGTTATTCATCACTTTGAATATTTCTTGCCACTCCCTTCTGGCCTGCATACTTTCTGTTGAGAAGTCAGCTGACAGTTCTATGGGTACTCCCTTGTAGGTAATTGGTTTTTCTCTTGCTGCTTTTAATATTCTTTGTCTTTTGCTCTTGACATTTTAATTATGATGTGGTCCTCTTTGGATTCCTTTTGTTTGGGGTTCTCTGCGCTTCCTGGACTTGTAAATCTATTTCTTTCACCAGGTAGGGGCAATTTTTTTCATAGGTTTTCAATATCCTGCTCTCTCTCTTCTTTTGGCACCCCTATAATTCGGATGTTGGTATGCTTGAAGTTGTCCCAGAGGCTCCTTGCACTGTCTTCATATTTTCATATTTTTTCCTTTTGCTTTTCCAGTTGAGTGTTTTTTGCTTCTTCGTATTTCAAATCTTTGACTTGTTTCTTGGGATCCTCTAGTCTGCTGTTAGGTCTCTGTATATTCTTTATTTCAGTCAGTGTCTGCTTACTTTCTAATTGGTCCTTTTTCATATTGAGAGTCTCACTATATTTCTCAGAGGTATCCAGAAGATTCTTGAGTAATCTTATAACCATGGTTTTGAACTCTATATCCAGTAGTTTGCTTTCCTCCATTTCTTTCATGTGTGATCTGTTTCTTTGTCTCTGCATTTTGGCTGCTTCCCTGTGTTGATAGAGTGGCTTTGTGTGCTTGGTGTCCTATAGGGGGCCAGTGGCTCAGCCTCCCTGAGGTGAACACTCTTGGTGAACCCTTTGTGGACTGTATGCACAGTCTTGTTGTAGTTGGTATCACTGGAAGGAATTGACCTCCAGGCCGGTTGGCTGTGAGGACCAGTTGTGCCTACAATGGGAGAACTTCTGTGCTGGAGACACCCTTATGGGATAGGAATTGCTTCAGTGGGGCTTTGGTGCTTACTGAGTCTGCCCCCTGAGTGTGTCTCTTATGGATGTGAAGAGTTGTAATCTGGATGGTCTTACTGTGACCACTGGGTACACTGGCTCTTGAATCTCCAAGGAGGTGCAAAGTCAGCCACTGCCTGAGGCCATCTAGCAGTAGCTAAGGAGAGATCTTCAGATTCCTCTTCTTTGTTTGGGGTTTGGAGGTGCGCCAATGAGGCCCAGCTGTGAAGCAGTGCAAGCTGCTGTACAGCCTTGGGCCGTCTTTTGGAAGCTCTGGGGTTCTCTGACCAAGTTACAGTTAGTTAGTTTTAGATTGCAAAAGGCCAGTCCATTCATATACAAAAGCCTCTGCATATATAACTTGGGAGGAGTTGTAAATTGGGTGGGACGGCATCTCAGGGAATCACCAGGGCAGAGCAAACAGCAATGGCTCCCGTCAGCCTTGCCCCGAAGAGGCCCCCAGATCTCTGTCCCATGGCACCATGTTGGAACAATGATTGTTGCAAGCACCTCTGAGAGAAAGCCGCCCTCATGTTCCAGCCTGACGCCAGCAGTCCAGTTTCTCTTCGTATGAGTCTGGGTACTCGGAGTCTCATCCGGAACTGGAGTTCAGAGCAGTCAGGAGCTTGTATCTCTCTCCCGATTGAAAAAGACAATAGTGGACCCAGTTGCCAGCCTCTTTTACGCGTGCTCCGTACCTCCACACTTCCACACTTCCTACAGGACTCAGTGCGCTTTTCTCTTTCCTTCTAGTTGTAGAATTTCCACTCAGCCGGCCTTCCCATGGTTATGGGTGATATTCGTTCTGTCTTTTAGTTGTAGTTTTAATGTGGTTGTGTGCGGCAGCAAGTTAAGTGTTTACCTATGCTGCCATCTTGGTTGTCCATTCTTATTTGATATTTTTTAAAGTTTATGTCTGTGAGTGCATTTTGTGGCTTGAATTGATATTCAAATTGCTTAGTTTTTTGAACTGTTGAAGGTCACAAGTTTGATTAAAAAAAAATGTAAATAAAATGTGATTTTTGAGGGCAATGAGAAAATAACTTAATTTTTAATTCTTTGTGAAAGTTGTAATTCTAAATGCTGAAAACTTCACATGTTTAGTACTTGGAATATCTCTTTATTTATGCATGTGTATATACAATAGGATTTTATGATACAGCTTAAAAATTCAAAACTTTTATTAAGACTGCATTTTTTTGGTTCTTATTAAACAAGGATGCTTTATGTAGTATGGGAAACACTCTGATGCATGTGTTATTTTTTTCCCTTTTCAGATTGCAAAATTACGCCAGCAATTGCAGAGAAGTAAGCATAGCAGTCGACATCATCGAGATAAAGAAAGACAGTCACCATTCCATGGCAACCATTCAGCCATTAACCAGAGTCAGGTAGGAGCACAGAAAACGTAAAATGCAGACAATAGATTTTTTATTTTGCAGGTGATTTGTTATTTTATAGGTGACTGTGGGACAAAAGAGCCAAAAACATATTTAAAACTGATTAATACTAAATCATAAACTTAATAAAAATAAACCAAAAAAAACCACACACACACACCACAGAACATTAAATTGACAAAATAATATTTTCCTTTGGTGATCTGTGATATTACTTCTAAGAGACATAGCTAATTTTTCATATTTTGACTTACTGTACTTTTGTATCTATCAATTTAGTATGTTGGAGGCAGAATAATAGAGATATGCACTGGCTATGGAATCAGACCCTGGACAGGTAACCTGCTCTAAGTCTCAGTTTCCTCGTCTGAAGATTGAGGGTAATAATAATAGCTGTCTCATAAAGTCATTTACTAGAGGAAAACGTTTATCTGCTCTGATTCCTTAATAGGATTTTATAAACTATTATTGATGGCTCACATTGGGAGCATTTCTCTTTAACTGAATTGAAATTGGGATGGGGTCCCTTGGCAAGGAGAAACAAAAGTTTGCCAACACCTTTTATAGGTTGATACCTTCCAGTGATTGTCCAGGATATTCGGATTGTTTTCAAGAGAAAGTATGTTTAGGTATATATTTTTTTCAAACTAATTTTGTCCTAAAATATTGGTACATGGGTCAAATTTGATTTCATAAATTTAAAGTTTGGCTGTAATTTCCAACAGCTCCTCAGGGCAGGGTGACAGAGTCATGAAGGTGGGGCTAGTGCATTTATCAAGGCTGATGCAGTATGAAGGGGAGGGCTTTACCCAGTAAAGATGTCATCTGTGAGTGTTGTCTGAGATGAACTTGGCATAGAGGCCCTGGCAGCTATCCTTTCAACTCTTTCCCTGGAGCCTCACAACCTTGTTTGTCTTCCCACATCTCCAATTTGCTCTGATCTTTTCCCTCTCTCTGCTGGAGCCCAGACTATATGGCCACGAATGAAATTTTGTGTGCTGTTCCTTTAAGAGGGCACCTGGGTTTTGAGCAGAGTTCTATCTTGCCCTGGCAGGTAGAATCTCCATTGATTTTCACAGCCAGGTGTTATATGGGCTCTTCTTCCCACATGCACATGCGTTTGGTTGAGACCCCTTGTTCCTCAGGGGGTGACTTTTGCAGCTGAGATGTCCCTCCAGATTCCCAGCTGCTATACATGGATGTGGGGCCAGCCCTTTTCAAGTCTCTGCCCTTCCTACCCATCTCAATGTGGCTTCTTCTTTAAATCCTTGGTTACAAGACTTCTGTTCAGCTAGTCTTCAAGCTGAATGTTCTGTAATTTAGTTGTAATTCCAATTTGGACCTTGGAGGAGGGTGAGGGTAACTTCCACTTCCTCTGCCTCTTATATTTTTTATTTTAGCCGTTCGAATAGATGTGTAGTGGTATTGTACTTGATATAAATTTGCACTACATTTTTCTAAGACTATTTGCCATATGTTCATCCTCTTTAATGAATGTATGTATGTATGCTCAAGTTTTTGCCCATATTTAAATTGTTTGTTTTATTATTATATATTTGAGAGATCATTACATATTTTGGATACAGGTCCTTTATTAGCTTTGTGAATTCTAAATATTTTCTCCCAGTCTGAATTAGTTTTTCATTCTCTCTCTCTTTTTTTTAATATATTTTATTGATTTTTGTACAGAGTGGAAGGGAGAAAGATAGAGAGTTCGAAACATCAATGAGAGAGAGTCATTGATTAGTTGCCTCTTGCACACCCCCTACTGGGGATATGCCCGCAACCAAGGTACATGCCCTTGACCGGAATCGAACCCAGGGCCCTTCAGTCCCCAAGCCGACACTCTATCCATTGAGCCATACCGGTCCCGGCTAGTTTTTCATTCTCTTAACAGGGTCTTTCACAGAGAAAAAACTATTTTCAAATAATTTTGAAGAAGTCCAGTGTATCACCCCCCCCCACCTTTATTGCGATATAATTGATATTTAACATTGTGCATTTAAGCAGTTCATTTTGATGACTTGATATATGTATAATATTGTGAAATTATTACTATAATACGGTTAGTTAAGACATCCATCATTTCACTCAGTTACCTTTTTTTTTTCTTGTGAGAACTTTTAAGATCTACTGTCTCAGCAAGTTGAAGTATACAATACATTATTAACTATCATCACCATGCTATACATTAGATCCCTAAAACATGTTCATCTTATAACTAGAAGTTTGTATTCTTTAACCACATTCACTCATTTCTTCTATCTCCTGGCAACCATCCATCTACTTCTGTTTCTATGAGGTTGTTTTTTGTTGTTGTTGTTTTAAGATTCCACATATAAGTAACATCACCAGTATTTGTCTTTCTCCAGCTTATTTCACTTAGCCTAATGTCCTTTAGGTTCATCCATGTTATTGCAATTGGCAGGATTTCCTCTTTCATGGCTGAATAATATTTCACTGTTCGTTTGTATAATCCTACTTTTATCCATTTATTTGTTAGCAGACACTTAGGTTTAACATGTCTTGGCTGTCAGAAATAATGCTGCAGTGAACACAAAGTGCAGATACTTGAGGAGTAAAAAAGGTTTTTGCTGATTAATTTAGCAGTATGAATCAAAGTCCTGAAAGTCTTCTCTCTCCATTGAGTCAGTAGTCCCTCTGGCCCAAGAATTTATCCTAAGAAAATATTTATATTTGTATGCAGTATTTATTTAAGAGGATGTTCCTAGTGGCATTTTTTTGAGTAGTAAAAAATTGGAAACTATTTGTCCAAGAGCAAAACATTTATTTTTTAATACATTTATACAACAAAATACATTCAGCTATGAATGTTATTTGGTAAATAATAATTCTAAAGCATAAGAAAGATGTTAGAGCCGGGACCGGTTTGGCTCAGTGGATAGAGCGTCGGCCTGCGGACTGAAAGGTCCTGGGTTTGATTCTGGGCAAGGGCATGTACCTTGGTTGCGGGCACATCCCCAGTAGGGGGTGTGCAAGAGGCAGCTGATCGATGATTCTCTCTCATTGATGTTTCTAACTCTCTATCCCTCTCTCTTCCTCTCTGTGAAAAATCAATAAAATATATTTAAAAAAAAAAAGAAAGATGTTAGAGATAGAGGAAATGAAAAAAATAAACACGTTACAATCTGAGGTGGTTGTGTCCCCCTATTACGCGAGGAAAGTGGGATGCAGAGGCCCAGCAGTGAGCAGCAAAGTGCAGCCCCAGCATTCCAGATTGAAGCTTCCCCTTGGATCTTCCTCCCGGGTCTTGCCTGTTCCAAGGATGTTATTGTATTATGCTTAATTTTTAAAAATATGAAATGTAATTGTGAGCAGGAATAAAAGAGGAGGAATACAGGTTTAACACTAAGTTCTATGTCAGAGGACAGTGTTGTTCATTGAATGAAACTCGTGATAATTGATCAAAGGCCCTGTTACCTTTTGCTTACCCACCTTCCTCGGAAAGATAAATTTTTCAACGAAACCTCCAAATGAAGGGTGGGTTAATCATATTTCTTTACCAGGCAGCAAGGCAGTGTACAAGAGATCTCAGACACACTGTTGCCATTAACTTTGGTGGATATTTTTGCAATTCTTTTTTTTATACTCACCCAAGGATATGTTTTTGTTGATTTTATAGAGAGAGGACCATAGATTGGTTGCCTCCTATACTCTCTCCCACTGGGTTTTGAACCCGCAACCTAGATATGTGCCCTGACTGGGAATCCAACCCACAACCTTTCTGTATATGGGACAACACTCCAAGCAGCTGAGCTATCCAGTCAGGTTCTTTGCAATTCTTGTTTCATATTTTATTTTGAGTATTTTGTCAAGAAATCAAGTAATATCCTGCAATTATATTATCATTTATTGCTTTTCAGAAGTAATAACTGTCAGTGAAAAAAAAAGTTTTCTAAAGTTAGAGGCTTTGGAAAAAAAGAAAATGAATCATATAATTTTTATTCCTTAACAAAACATTAAAATCATTACAATGGATGTATAAGTGATTAAATTTTACAGGACTTTATTCTCATCTCAGTCTTGCTATAAATATAATTAATTGTGTCACTAGAGGATTTTAAAGTTATGTCTGAAATTAGAATTCTGTTAAAATCATAAAACAATTTTTGAGATTGAAATTCTTTTAGTATTCTTTTATTCGTTTTTTCTTTATAGTTCCTCATAGATGTGAATGTGCTTCTTGTCTGGATTTTTATCTTTAAACTAGAGGCCTGGTGCGTGAAAATCATGCGGGTGTGTGTGTGTGTGTGTGTGTGTGTGTGTATGTGTGTAGGTGTCCATAAGCCCAGTCTGCACCCTCTTCAATCTGGGACTCCTCAGGGGATGTCCGATTGCTGGATTAGGCCCACAGGTATTGGGCCTATACCAGCAGTCGGACATCCCTCTCACAATCTGAGACAGCTGGCTCCCTACCACTCGCCTGCTTGTCTGCCTGATAGCCCCTAACTGCTTCTGCCTGCCAGCCTGATCACCCCCTAACCACTCCCCTGCCAGCCTGATCGATGCCTGACTGCTCCCCTGCTGGCTTAATTGCCTCCAATTACTCTCCCCATCCAGCCCGATCACCCCCAACTGCCCTCTCTCTCCCCTACAGGCCCGGTCTCCCCCAACTGCCTTCCCCTGCCAGTCTGGTCGCCCCCAACTACCCTCTCCTGCTGGCCTGGTCACCCCTAGATGCCCTCCCCTGCTGGCCTGATTGCCCACAACTGCCCTCCCCTGCTTGCCATCTTGTGACAACATGGGCACAGCCATCTTGTGACCACATGGGGGTGGCCATCTTGTGTGAGGGTATGATGGTCAATTTGCATGATACCTCTTTATTATATAGATTATATTTCATGTACAGTATACTGAGAAGAAGATTTGGTCACTCACACTTTTTAGGAGGCCTATAGACTTTTTTGTTTAGAGTTACTCATGTCAACTAAAAGTATGTTTCAAATGAATGTTAAACCTCTCTTCTCCCTGCTTTATTTCTTTAAGGCTCCTATTCCAAAGAGTACTCTTATTCCAGTAATTCCCATCACCAAATCAACAGGCTCCCGGTTCCGGAACAGTGTAGAAGGTTTGAATCAGGAGATTGAAATAATAATTAAAGAGACAGGGGAAAAGGAAGAACAACTTATAGTAAGTAATCCTTACTCATTAACTCTTCTACCTATTAAAACATTTACAATTTTGTTTTTCATATTTACTTAGGTTTCTTGTTGAGAGTCAATTACAATTTTTATCTTTTGAAAAACTTTTACCTTAGCAAGTGAGTGAAAAGTTTTCATTTCTTTGCATGTCATAGAGACTACTCATGCGATTTAAATTTGGATCCTTGAATAGAAACTTTTTTATTTATTTATCTGTATTTGAAAAGCACCAGACAGGTGGTATACTTTAACTCCATTTAAGAAAAGATTCGGCTACTAATTTGTTGGGGAGAGAGGGATATGAGATCAAATTCTAAGCAGGAAATGTTTCTTCTTCTTTTTTCTTAATACTCTAGAATATATCGAGAGAGAGACATACACACACACACACACACACACACACACACACAGACACATATTGATCAGTTGCCACACACACAGAGACACATACTGATCAGTTGCCTCCCATGGATTGGGAATCAAACCCACAATCTAGGTATGTGCCCTGACCTGGAATTGATCCAGTACATAAACTTTAGATGTTCTAGACCAGTGGTTGGCAAACTTCGGCTCATGAGCCACATGCGAGTCTTTGGCTCCTTTGAGTTTTTAACAAAGGCCAGCTTAGGAGTACCCTAATTAAGTTAATAACAATGTACCTACCTTATAGTTTAAGTTTTAAAAATTTAATTCTCAGAAGAAATTTTAGTCATTGTACTGTTGTTTTTTGGCTCTGTTGACTGATGAGTTTGCCAATCACTGCATTAGACAATGCTCCAACCAAGCCATCCAGCCAGGGCTGTCTGTTCCTTATTGTTGGTCACTTGCCTTTTCTTTCTTTTTCTTTTTTTTTAATATATATTTTATTGATTTTTTACAGAGAGGAAGGGAGAGAGCTAGAGAGCTAGAAACGTCGATGAGAGAGAAACATCGACCAGCTGCCTCTTGCACACTTCTACCGGGGATGTGCCTGCAACCAATGTACATGTTCTTGACCGGAATTGAACCCGGGACCTTTCAGTCCGCAGACCGACGCTCTACCACTGAGCCAAACCGGCTTCGGCCGTCACTTGCCTTTTCAAAGGTTAATGATAACATCATAAAGTGCAGTTCTTACCTCTCATGCACAAAAGACTGTACTGTTATACTAACTTTATACACATAAGAATGATTCATACGTAAGACACTGTGAGAACATTTCCTGTTTGTATTTAAAACCACGTCACAGAGTGTACTAAGCTTTTTTCTTCAGTGAATAAAAGCTTTTTTCTTCAGTAAACAAATTGAGGAGTTTTAAGTAGTATTTCATTGACGCCTAAGATTAAAGGTTTGCTTAGATTAGAGGAAACACAACTCCCTACACTCTCTCCTCCACACTGCGTGGTAGGGTATCTTTCCCTCATGTAATGAATGGAAATGAAGCACAGGGAGACAGGTTCCTGGTTTCCCTGGTAAGTGAGCCCCACCAGCTTTTTTCAAATTATTTCCCTTGATTCCCCCCATAAGTAGCACTGTTGTGGTTAATTTTTTCCTCACGTAGCAAAGTTTCTTTGGAAAAACTCCGAATTGGCAGGGGGAGAAGGTAATGGCCCAACATCAGGTATCTCAAGTTCCCACAATGGATAACCTTTTCTTCTAATAATGGAATCGAGTGTTACACCTAGAATTCTCTTTTTACCATGGCCCTTCTGTATAAATTTTAAAGTACTATTTAGCACATGATAAGTAGTAATTCAGTGCAATTTATCATTCAGTAAGCGTTGATCACCTGTCAGATGCCAGTCCCTAGAAAGAGTGTCTTTGCCCAGGCTGCTTGGTGTCCAGTGGGGGAGTCAGATTAGGCAGCGGTGTCACTAATGGAGCAACACAAATGCTTCTTTCTTATTAAGCTTATAAGTAGGGGATTCTGATTTAGGAATCTTCTGAAACAAGAGGGGAAGGTCAACATTGAGTGCATTTCTGGGTGAGTATCAAAATCAGTGATAAATATGCATATGTTTAAAACTTTTATAACAGCCACAAGACATTCCAGATGGCCATCGTGCACCTCCTCCCCTTGTACAGAGAAGTAGCAGTACACGCAGCATTGACACGCAGACCCCTGGGGGGGCCGACAGGGGGAGCAACAACAGCAGCCGTTCTCAGTCTGTGTCCCCCGCGTCATTCCTCACCATCTCCAATGAAGGTAGCGAAGAGAGCCCTTGTTCAGCTGATGACCTGCTCGTTGATCCCAGGGATAAAGGTACAGTGCAGGAGGAATTGGTTACCAGATGATAAGGGAATACCACTTACGTTATCATTTATTCTATTTATTTTCTAGCAGAATACACACACTTAAAGCTGCACTCAGGTAACTAGTTTGAAGTGTTTCAAAACAGATTTTTAAAAATTAGAGTACAAAACAGTAGGTTTTATTGTGGTGTGCTCGGGTGATGATCACGTTGGGTGGGTTTATAGGTTTTTATTTGTTCCTCTTTTTTTCTTTTTTTTTTTTTTTTTCTTTTTGTGTGTGCTTGTTAATACAAGTGTCTTATTAGTGAGAAACATTCTTTTGGGTATAAATGAGATGAACATTGGTCCTGAAGAGCACTTTAATCTGTTGTTTAGTAGTCATGTTTTTACTACCCACTACTTTTTAATTGTGAAACCTTTAAATTCGTGTTTTTTAGGATCTATACTTTTGATATTTCTAGAAAGTATAGAGCTGATTTATATCATGCAAAATGACTATTCAAGGGAAGCCTGGAGGGCTACTTACAGTATTAAACTACTTAATGCAACTTGAAAAATAATGTGGTGACCTAAGCAGTTTGAATATTAATTACTACTATTCTTATCTTTTAAAACAAATAGGACCTTTCATATGTCTGTGTCAGAGCAATATTTTGTTAGCCTAACTTTAGTTACTGCATGTGCTTCAGAGCAATAGCAAGATATTTATTTGTAAACTAGAGGCCCGATGCACGAATTTGTGCATGGATGGGGACCCTTGGGGTGGCCTGTGGAGATAGGGCCCCAGCTCATGCCCCCGACCTTGCAGCCTTGCAGTCTGCCTGGCACTCTGCCTTGGCCTGGTGCCACTTGCTCACCTACTCCACCATCCCATCGCAGTCTCATTCTTGTCAGGCCCTATTGGGGTAGGCAGCGCCGCATTGCTGACACCTGCGATGCTCACACCTCCCCCTAGTGTCAGTACACATCATAGCGAGTGGTCAAACTCTTGGTCTTTTGGTCGAATGACCATCTGAGGGGGCAATTTGCATATTAGGTTTTTATTATATAGGATCCTACATCTCAGTTCAGTAGTCATTTATTTAGGACCTCATACTCACAGTGTGCTGAACATCCTAAAATGTTTCATTGTTACAGCTAACCATTACTACCAAACACCTAAGTTATTGAGACTATAGCACATGCAGAGAACATAAGGTTTTCTGAAGAAGTCACTTCAAACTATGGGCCATTGTAAAATGTTATTATTTTAACCCTTTATGCCCAGCTTCTAGGTTAAATAAAGTATGACTATTCCAGGCCCACACCCAGACCAATTAAATCACATCTCCTGGGGGTGTAGGAATAGGTACTTAAGATGCTCCGTGATTCCAATGTACACACAAGCTTGACACCTGCTCAATTAAATCCTTTGATTGGGCCATGTGTTTCTTGTCATGAATCTGAATAATTAATTCTTATGTTTATTATGAGAATTAAATGGGGTAGTGAATGCAAACTATTTAGCTTATTCCTGGTACTTAGTGTTCAATCCTATGTACCCTCCAACATTTAAAAAATCGTGGCCATTAAAATATGCTTTTGACAGCATGTCATAAATTTTGTGTCCTACTGTATTTTATTTTAGATTAGTGACTGACTAGCTGCTCTGAATTTCTTTTGTAAGAAAACAGAACCACCATGCTACTCTTGGCAAGGAATTTATAGCTTAGCTAACACAGGCTAAAAATTCAGAACACTTAAGTAACATATCAAGAATTTTTAAGTTAATATATATAAACTGAGGACATCAGCACTGAACAGGAATACCAGAGTAAGAAGTGTTCCCTTTGATATAATTAATTTGGAAAGATTTTAAAAACTTTGAGCCAGACTTTGAAGGCAGTTTTGGGAAATCGGCAGAAGAGGATCTCTTAGGCATGGAGAAGTTCATAGGCAAAGGAAGTCTTTGGCTTACAGTGCAGAGGCTCTGATTTCCTGGAGCAGAGATGGTAACTGGAGGAGCCGAGAAATCAAGTGAAAAATTCTGAAGGGCAGCACAGGAGAGAATGATAATCAACCAGTTACTTGTACTGGGAAGAATGGTAGTGCGATTGGAGTCTGTGTGCTGTGTATGGATTAAAAACAAATCAGGGACAGGCTTCGGAGGCGGTGGTTATAAGAGGAAAAGACATAAAAATCTTGTATTTGTTTATGCATTTATTTAACAAACATTATCTTCTCTTTATCAGGAATTAGATATTGGGGTGATATTGATGAGTAAAACACCATTTCTACCCTCAAGTAGCTCATGGAGTAGGGAGAAGGCAAGAACAATTAATTACAGTATGACTATGCATTTCTGTAGTGGTATTTCTTAGTAATCCAGCATGTTGTTTTTTTGCAGAGAATGGGAACAACTCCCCTTTGCCCAAATATGCAACTTCACCAAAACCCAACAACAGTTACATGTTTAAAAGGGAACCTCCGGAGGGCTGTGAAAGGGTCAAAGTCTTTGAGGAATGCTCGTAAGTACACCCCTCCCCCCAGAGTCAAGCTTTTATTGTGAGAATTTTTATTACGAAAATTGAAGTATAGTACAGTGATCACCCATATAATCACTCCCTATGTTCTGTAATAAAATTTTGCTGTGTTTGCTTTGTTTGTGATAGTGTTTTTGCTGAACTGTTTGAAAGTAATTTGCAGGCACCATGACACTAAACCTTAAATACAATTTAATATGTGTTTCCTAAAAGTAACCACACTACTCCGTCATAACCACAATATCATTATCACACCAAAGAAAATTAACAGTAATGCTTAATATCCAGTTGTTATTAACCTTTTCTCACTTCTTTCTGTTGTATCATTTGTGGCTGTTATTTTTGAACCTGTATGCAGTCATCACACTTTGAATTTAGCAGTATATTTATTCAAGATATATCATGGATCTTACCCAGTGTGGTTTCCTTCTTTCAAGGCTTGAATTCCCTTTGGTTTTTATCTACTCTTGGTCTTCAGTTTGTTAAACAGTTTTAAAAAACATTTTGTCTGCCAATATAGGAAACAGGATTCTGTTACTTTGCCGAATCATGTTACTGTGATGAAGACAGTAAGAAGTAAAATTGTCAACAGTGTCTGCTACTTTTGGTGTGTACCTATGCTCCTATTCTGTTGACTGGTATACGTCAAGTACTCCAATTTTAGACTCAAAAGTTCCTCAGAAAGTGTTACAGCCTTAGGTTTTCAGTAGCTGAAATGTTCTTTGCTTTATAAGTGATGGCTGCGGGTTGTAAGTGTAACTGAGACTGAGCAAATAGGCGATGAGCATTATTGGGAATTTGGTGATGGTACTGAGCCCTCACAATATGGCTGCTAGTCTAAGAGGCTCTCTTCAGGCTTTTCTCACTATGAAACCTAAACTACATTGTGGATGATGTCCAACCTTGTCCGATTTGCATGATTTATCTTTTCCCTCCATTATGAGCATCTTGGAATCATCTTGAAATATGGTATCTTTTGTTTCTTTATGAGAGAATGAGGAGAGAGATGAAAGAAAATTGAGTGAATGAGGAGAGAAACTAGAGGTCTGAGGAAATTGAGAGAATGAGGATTGATCAGATCACATTGGTTGGGCCAGTTGATTGGATTAAACTGTTTAGACAGTCTGAATTAGATTGAGTTGATTGGATCAGCTGGTCAGAGCAGGCGGTTGGAGCAGCTGATTAGATTAAATTGCTTGCTGGTCAGGCCACATGCTTGGTTTGTAGGTTCATTCCCCAGTAGGGAGCGTGCAGGCGGCAGTCAGTTGTTGTTACACTCTCACATTGAAGTTTCTCTCTCTCCCTCTCCCTTCCTCTCTAAAAAATCAATAAAAATATTTCTTTAAAAATATTTTCTATAAAAATATTTCTTTTCTTTAAATAAAATTAGCCAAAACTGGTTTGGCTCAGTGGATGGAACCTTGGCCTGCGGACTGAAGGGTCCCGGGTTCAATTCCGGTCAAGGGCATGTACCTTGGTTGTGGGCACATCCTCAGTGGGGGATGTGCAGGAGGCAACTGATCAGTGTTTCTCATCAATGTTCCTAACTCTCTATCCCTCTCCCTTCCTCTCTGTAAAAATCAAAATATTTAATAAATAAAAAAATAAAATTAAACAACTCAGAGTTTAAAAATTAGTCTCTTTTTGCACTAGCTATTTCAAAATTCAAGCAAATGCACTGGATTCACTGGCATTAAAGCAAAGGTCAGTTATTGGCCCTAATTAAAAATGTTTGGCTTATTTAATTATTCTTTAAAGAATATTTTCTCCCAAGATTACTTTTAATTTAAGGGAAGTAACTGACTTGACCTAGAGGATGGAGTGGGTATTTAAAGTATTACATAAGTCTCCTTTTCCCCCATTGACTTCTCCCTTGCTGCGCCCTCCGCTCATTTGTGTCAATTGGTTATGCTCAGATGTATGCGTACAGGTTCTTTGGTTGATCTCTTATTCCCTCACCTTCCACCTTCCCTCATAGGTTAGACAGTGTATTCAATGCTTCTCTGTCTCTGGTTCTATTTTTGTTCATCAGTTTATGTTGTTCATTTTATTCCACAAATGAGTGAGATCATGTGATATTTTTATCTTTCTCTAATTGGCATATTTCGCTTAGCATAATGTTTATTTCTCACATCAATGTTTCTTCCTTTCTCCTTCCTTCTTTCTCTCTTCCCCTCCCCCCCCCCAATCTGTAAAATTAATTTTAAAAAATTCAATTTAAAGTTGCAAAGAAGATAGCTTCAAACAAATTAAATAATTCAAAACCTAGGATTCACCCAACTGGTGTGGCTCAGTGGTTGAATATCAACCTATGACCTATGATCTCTGTCAGAGCATATGGCTGGGTTTCAGGCTCAATCCCTAGTAGAGGGCATGTAGGAGGCAGCTGATCAGTGATTCTCTCTCATTGATGTTTCTGTCTCTCCCTCTCCCTGCCTCTCTAAAGTAAAAAAAAAATAAAAAAAAAATAAAAAAATATATATATATATATATATATATATTTTTTATATATATATATTTCAGCAGATAGAGTGTTGGCCTGTGGACTGAAGGGTTCTGGGTTTTTATTCCAGTTAAGGGCACGTACCTTGGTTGCAGGCTCCTCCCCTGACCTGGCCCTGGTCAGGACTCATGCACGCAGGAGGCAACCAGTTGATGTGTTTTTCTCATATTGATGTTCCTCCTGTCATTCCCTCTCTCTCCCACTCTTTCTCTAAAAATCAATGGAAAAATACCCTCGAATGAGAATTTAAAAAAAGAAAAACATACTTTTCAGGTAGTAAAAATAGAGGAGTGTGCCCTCTTAACAGCAGCATATCCAAGTATATTTGTAGGCAGAAAAGTACTCAATGAGTTAAGTTTCTATTTTATTCAACAAACAACTTAAATGATGTAATTTTTAAATGTGATAATATATTTCATGTAACCCAATGTACCAATCATATGTCATTTCAACATGTAGTCAATATAAAACATTATTCATGAGATGTTTGCATTCCTTTTATGTACCAGGTTGCCAGAATCTGGAGTATATTTCACACTGATGGCATGTCTCAAGTCTGACTGGCCACAATTCCAGTGTTCAGTAGCCACATGGGGTTCATGACTTTTCTGGTGGACAGAGCAGATCTAGACCCTTCTAGGCGAGGCGTGGGGCTGGCATCTCCATAGGTCCCACCCAGAGAGAGGGCATTGCCATCTATTGAACATTTCTGTGTGCCAGGCACTGGGATTTATCTCTTCAAGTCCCAGCGACAAGGCTGGAGGTAGCGGGTGATCAACCCATCTCATCGCTGAGACAACTGAGGCTCAGTGGGGTGGAGTCACACGGTGACTGGAACCAAGGTTCGCTGTCCCAGGCCTCTGCTGCCAGAGCCCTCAGGTGGAGGTGCAGGCCATGAGGGACCAGTGAGATGGCAGCTGGCGCTGGGCCTGTCTTCTTGAGTCTACTCCCTCATGTAATTTCTTTTATTCATAAATTATTACATTTGTCAAAGCTATTCATGGGTAGTATTCACTGTTAATAAAAATTGCCACTTAAAGCATTGTCTACTTGAAACTTTTCATTTTGCACCCACCCCCAAGGTCTGTTATTCATTCTTTAAAACCAGCTCAGATGTGACTTCCTTTGGAGGGCCGCTTCTTCCCAAACTCTCCCTCTTCCTTTGTGCCACTGGTTATCACCCCTGTGCTACCTGCAAACCTTTACAAGCCATTTTATCACATCTCTCAGATCTCTGGCAGGATCTCTTTACCTTCTTTGTGCCATGGACACTTTGGCAGCCTGGTAAAGATTATGGTGCACAGGGTTAGCCAGGGAACTGACAGCAGCAATGTGAATGGTGTCCTTTTGGCGTTCTGAAATACATATTTTGAATCATGTCTAATCCCGCCTTGGTCCATAGCATTTGAAGCTTTTGACATAGCTTGAATTTTTGTTTTATGTGTCTATTGTCTTTTTAAAAAAACAATAAAATAATTTATTTCCATTGTGACTTAAATGCATGGGGTTGTCTGTTCTATATCTAGGCCAAAGCAACTTCACGAAATCCCAGCCTTTTACTGTCCTGACAAAAACAAGGTGAATTTCATTCCTAAAAGCGGTTCTGCTTTCTGCCTCGTCAGCATCCTCAAGCCACTCCTTCCCACGCCAGATCTTACCCTCAAGGGCTCTGGCCACAGTCTGACAGTCACCACTGGCATGACGACCACTCTGCTGCAGCCCATCGCCATGGCCTCCCTGTCTGCAGAGCAAGACCGAGTCTCCCGAGGAACAAGTACAGTCATGCCATCGTCCTCTCTACTCTCCCCACCCGATACAATTGAGGAGGCTGAAGGGTAGGTCCAGTGCTGCGCAGCCACTGTTCCTCGGATCTCTTGACTGTGATGGCACCGTGCGCTCCCAGTTGGCTGTGCGGTGCTCAGGCGTTGCACGGGGACTCCCAGCACAGCTTCTGGAAGAGCGCCCCTGGTGGCCTGCTCGCTGGGAAGGCCAGCCCTCAGTGCTTAGCCTGCTTTCTCCTAAAGCGCCAGCTGAGACAAGAAAGGTCTCATTCTTTACTTTTGGTGGGCTGATACCACTTTTTTTGTTGTTTTGTTCTCAAATTAAACTTCTTTAGAAACAAACACACAACAAAACACTGATCCCTGCAAATGATTCCTGGAGACGTGAATGATGCTGCAAGAACCACCTTTTATATGATAATGACTATTTTATAATACCAATGTTACATTTTCTGAGACGTAGCAAACAGATGTTGAAAAGATTCTTTGGTGGCCTCTGTTTCTTGTTTCCTTCTAAATGTGTGCTTTTCTCAGCTGTTTTCAGCTTTGGGACCAAAGGGATTGTTGACATTTTCCCAGCAATCTTATTCTCATGACTGTATTCTTCTCCAAAACAAGAATTGATAAGTAAATGCATTGACCAAGTATATATAAAAAAGAAATAAAAAGCAATATTAGTACATGATGTGATTTATGTTTTTTGATGTCAGAAGTTTGTGCTTTAAGTGAAATATTTGTAAAACTGCTGTTTTCTTCACTACTCCTGTATACATTCTACCATATGCTCAGAAAAATTTGTAGTCTGGAGATGAGTGCTTAATAAGTTCTCATCCATCATCGGAAGTTGGTTTGAAAGTCTGAGCCAATAGGAAGCTATCCAGTGTTGATTGCTAGCTAAGAGTGAGGAGCCCCTTTGGTTTTCTGCACAGTATTTGTCACATGATCTCCCTTTACTCCAGGTACCATGCTACCTTTCCTCCTCACTGTATCATAGTCCCAGAGATCCTAAAATGGCAGTGCATGGATTTCCTCCTTTGCCTTTGTGATGTTGTTGTCTTGTGGACTTGGTCCAGGTTAGTAGTTTGCCAGGAGCATAATCCATTGAATAGCAATCCGTAGACACAGAATCTTGCGACTGACATTTTCTGTATGTAGTGGGCACTGAGATGTTACCTACAGGTTTTGCTAGTTGTCTGTCCAGCATTCCACACAGTGGGGAACACAGGCAAAGGAGAGCTTTGGGGCATGAGCATCAGGAACCTTTGAAAAATCCATCCAGTTTTGGAGTTAGGCTCATCCTAATACAGTTACTGCCAATGTCATGTGTCCACAGTGCGTCATGTCTGGGTATGTGGTAGTAAAATTAAGGAGCAGCTCTTTTAAAAAGTGAGTTTCAGCAAACTGTGTTGGTAACAAGCATCCTTCTGAGGTCTTCATATACTACCTTCTGATGCAATGATTTAATGTTCTTATACATATTAAAGGGAGAAAACATTTAAATACTTGTTAAAGGGATACAGTTTAGAGGGTTACTATGTCAGTTTATCCAGACATATCCCATCAAGGAAAACCTAGTGGTAGCAATACATCTTCTCAAAGGACTTCCTGTACTCATGCAACTTTAAGATACCTAAGTAATCAAAAGCATGCCCTGTTCAAGTTAAAATGGAGATGTATTTAGGGAATTTAGATAAATTCAAACAAGTCTGTCAGGTGAGTTGGTGAGACCGATGAATTTTGTTTCCTTTTTGTTCAAAACTCATTTACCTGGAATCAGTCCATGTGGCTTCTAAGTCAGTAATAGCCCAGTTATTCAGGATCTAAATCTTTGGTTGGTTTACTGAGAACTTGGAGTCTTTGCCTTTGACTTGGCCTTTTCCCCAGAGAACTGCTCTCGGAACTACAGGAAAGGTAAAACTGAAGTCAGGTGTGTGAATTTAAAAGGCAGGAAGAAGTAGTTAGGGACAAGGTTGAAAAACACACAGGCCTGTTTTTGGATGACTTGAGTTCTGTTAAATTCGTGTTCTTTTCTTTGCCTCACACTTAACTTTCTGTGTCTCCATCCCTGCAAGTGACGAGGGTATTTTCCAGCTAGAATGCCACTTTGTACAGTTTTTTCTTTTGCTCTGTTGTGCATGTTTGTCTAATTCGCATTTTTCTGTGGAGTTTCCTATATCCTTAATCTAAGTAATTTAAAATAGGAATGGGATAACTTTATTCTTTACACAGTCTTATAAATGGAACTTGTAATGTCTGGTTGTAAGGACAATGTGAATTTGTAGGTAAATGAATTGTATGGCAACCAAGCATATCCTGTGGATTTGGGAGAAATAGAGCCTGAGATTTGAAGAAGAAAAAGAAGGTACAAGGTACAAACAACTTTAACTGCCAGTGCCAAAGGGCTAATTTTAAACATAGGAACTTTATCACAGTCTTAAAAAAAAATATTAATCCTGGTTAATTCCACTTTATTTAACCCTTAGTTCACAAGAGGTTGATTTTTTTTTTAATGGGTATCAATATTGTTTTCTAAAATTACATTCTATAATTGTTATTTTATAGAAAACTGTACAGAAAGTAAGTAAATTAGAATAACTTCAATGGGAATCTAATTTAAAAAAATTTTTTTTTTTTTAATTTTAAGTAAATGTGTTTCCATTGCAGTAAAAGAAATAGGTAGCATGTATATTTTGGCAAAAGAAGTTATTCTGTGGTTATTTTCTTTATCAGTCTTAAGTTATTTTTTTTTCCCTTAAAGAAATTATTGTGATAACAATATGTGAATTTACTAGTTTTGATCATGACTGAGTCTGTTGCTTGTTATGTTTTGTGAGCAGTTACACTTTTTAAAAATATCTGTTTTCCTTTTTGGTTAATATTGTGAGCATGGATGCCAAAATTATTTTTGTCTTAGATTCTTCATTTTGTTTAAAATGTTTCTAACACTTATGACAAGCCAAATCCACCTTTCGGAAGGTGCTATTGCTACCTGTGGAATAACTGGCAACAAGACAGGCTTTTTCTTTTCAATGGTTGGCTTTTTCTCGAAGGTATTAAAAAAAAAAAAAAAGGAAGAATTTGTAGCCTTGGGTATCTCCAAGATTAGGACTGGGTTGTCAAGATTTTCTTTTGAAAAAGGAAATTGCCACTACTGAATTTACTGTATTATTCTAAACTTAAGATTCATTCCTTGATGCTTGGACCATTGGAGTGAACCGGACCAGTGGAAGTGCTGAATTTGCATTAAGCTAAGAAAAATTAACTCCGCACTTTAAGGTTTAAGTTTTACTCTGCCTTAAATTAATAATAGGCAGAGCAGCCCTGAACAATATATTTTGTTTATGCACTCCTGTTGAAGAATATAATTTATGTTTTTTTAAAGTTTGTATCTTTCATCTGTTGAAGCTGTTTAAATCTTTTTTAAATGCAATTTTTTAAAATTTTGTTTTTCTAATAAAATTCTCCCCCAAAACAGCATTTCCAATGGTGATAAATATTGTTACTATGTACTTATGTATTCCTGTATCGGAACACTTGTTGCTGCCTCACAAGAAAATAGAACTTTTATGTAAAAAATAAAGTCTGTTCTTCTTGATTTTTTCCTGTGTACTTTTATGAATATAGCCTCAAATTTTCTTTTCATACACTGCATGCCTGAATTAATTTACAAATAGTATATTCTTTTTTACAAATTGATAGAAAATTGCGTTTGTGTTAAGTAGCAGGATATATAATACTAGAGGCCTGGTGCAGGAAAATCCATGCACTGGAGGGGCAGGTCCCTCCAGCCAGCCTGCCCTCTCTCACAATCTGGGAGTCCTCAGGGGCGGGAGGCGATCCGGTGATCAGGGGAAGGCAAGGTCCCCATCACACTTCTGCTACTGCTACTGCCGACAACACAAGCATTGGCCGACCCCAGTTACCTAAGCCTCGGGCAGCCCTAGGCGGCTGGGTAGCCTGCCCTTCGGGCCTACCCTGGGGAGCTGGGGACTGAGGAGACAGGGGGACTCCGGATGCAGGCCTATGGCAAGGCAAGGCTGAGGGGACTGGGAACCGCCATCTTTAAGGATATGGCAGTCAATGAGCATATTCCCTCCTTATTGGCTGTTGGCGCTGCCATCTTTGTAATGTCGTGAAGGTCAATTAGCATGTTTTCTCTTTCTTAGATAGGATTGTCGCTTGTTACTTCCTTGCTTCTTCCTTTCTCTAGAACATCAGGTACCTGATGTTTGTGGTAAATGCTAAGCAAACTTAACACAGGCTTTTCTTGAAAGCATATTACATACAGTTACACACTTTGTAGATGATACAAATTTTAAAAAGACATAGACTTTGCTCTCATCTTTAAAATTAGAAGGTGAAAAATGGCCTATAACTGCAACAAAGGATAAAAAGTGAGAAGTAGATTCAGCAAAGTTCACTGGAAAGTGTGTGGGAGTTCAGATGCTGTTTCCACTTGTGACTCAGGGAAGGGCCCCATAAAGAAATGACATCTGAAATGGGCCTGAGATTCGTCAATTTTTCAATATGTAGCCGTGGCTAGGATCTCATTTTATCCAGGTTAAAATAAGACTTTTTATCTCTGAGCCAGGTCAGAAAGCAAGTCCTGCAAAATTATCTTTAAGCTTATATTAGTAACAGATCATTAAATACACAAATAACAAAACATAACCAAAGTTGTACATGGAGAGCTGAGCGGACATTGTCGCCATGCTGCATTTAAATATGTCTGGAACCCAGGGCTGCTGGCATCTCACTCCAAAGGAAGAAGAGTGGCAGGAAGCTCACAGTGTGACCTGATAAGAACAGAGATGAAAGGTTTCAGCAAGCCTGAGCGGGGCCACGAAGGATGGAGAAATGCTAGACAAAGAAAAAGCTGGGTCTAGGTGGGTCTTCTATGCCTGGCTGAGGCCACAGGACAGATCCAGACTGCAAAGCTGATGCTTCATTTATAGTCAGGGACAAACAAGGTAATTGACAATGTTATAAGTTTCACTTGTTTTGGCAGCACTTGCTGCCCCTCCCACAGCCCACTAGCTACCCAGGAAAGATCTAGGG